CTCGAAAATACGAGTCCAAAAACAATAAATAATTATTTGGTTTTGCAATGCAAAAATTTTTTCGTTTTTAACAAACTCAACGTCGTTTAGTATGAAAGTAGTCAGAAACAAAAATGCTCGTCAACTTACATTTCAATTCCAAAGTTGCTTGATAATATTTGTTGCTAAATAACACTTAATAGTTTTACGAAAAGAAAATATTTCCGCATTGCAGCGCTTTTTCTGTAACGTTATTTAAGCACTGAAATCGTAAAGTAGAACTTATAATTTTTCCATAATAATTTTTTCTCCTGTAATCACACTTAATAATTTTTATGAATGATCACTTTCAGTGGAACTAATTTGTTTATGGGTGATTTCATTTATTCAGTTTGGCATAGGAACGAAAACCGATTATTTAAATAGCAATATATAATTGCAAAATATTTTACTTACCATTTAAGTCTAAAATCATTCTAGCAAACACCAAAGCTTGCATATTTTGAGATTTAAAGTTTTTGATTTATTTTGACAGCTAAGGAGTAATTCCTCTTTAGTCAATTTAACGTTAAGTATGGAAAAATGTTTTGAAATTTAACACTGTTTTTGATTTAAAAATTTTATATTATTCAAACAAAATAGGTAATGGAAGAAAATGATCTTTTTTTGTAGTGCAGTACTGTAATAATTATTATCATTCCTTTAAATGTTATAAATGTCATTAAGATAATGATCATTACTAAAATAAATACATTGTGGCTGTTGTTATAGGTAACAAAATTTATTATTGCTATAGCAAATAAGAATAGTGTTGGCAATGACTTAATATAATAAAATTTATATTAATGTCTGTTTTTCTCTTATTTTTCCTTTTATTATTAGAAATATAATGATTAATGATAATAGTAACAGTACTAGTAATGAACAATAAATAGCAATAATAATATTAATTACCATTATTATTATTATTATTATTATTATTATTATTATTATTATTATCGTTATTACTGTTATTAACTATTACCATTTCTTAAATTAGTCAGTTTAGTGTTCTAGAAACTCATACATTTAAAATTGCAATTTTTGCGGGGGATTCAAAAAAAGCGTATAGACAGAAAACATGAATATGAAGGGAATTTCGTCCATTATTAAGCATTTTTGATATGAGTCGTTTCAGTATTATTAAATGGGAAAGCTCCGAAACAAATTATCGCTTGAACTTTCGGAGCTGCAATTTAAGATTTGTTATTTTTTATACCCGTAAAAAGCTATTTTCATTTTATTTCATTTCATATCATTTCGTGTATATATCCATTACACCTTTTTGTATTCGCAATGTTTTTAGAAGGAATTTATTTGATCGTACAAAAAGTGTAAATTGTTGCATTCAGTTTCTGCAAATTTTATCATTGAAATTCCTTTTGAACTATCTGTTTTCGATTTTAAAAATAGTTGGAATTATCAGTTTTTCAGTTCAGCATGGATTTTCAGCCTTTGCAAAACAAAAGTTAAGTTTTTAAAGATTGAAACTGAGCAAATGCATAATAGTAAGTTTTGGGATATGCATATTCCTTCTTGCGAAAACTATCAAAAATAATGGCTTTTGCCTTAGAAAGTTATCATTTTTACCTTTTATAAATGTCCAATAAACCACTGCGATGGCTGATGTATTTTTATGTAAATAATCGCAATAACTGCCTGCAAACTGCTCAAAATGGTTTCTATTTTCTTTGATTACAACTATTTGAATGAAAAATTTACTTCTTTTGCCGGAATTCGAATTTTTTTGACATACAAGCAACCAAAATACGATTGAGAATACTTTTTATTTTCAAGTGACACATCAGAAACAGAAGCTCATTGCATGTTTCACTTTTAATTCACTTCAATTGGTTGAAAATGAGATCTTTTTATTTTGCAAGTAATAAGTACTGAAATTTCTTAAAATCTATTTTCTGTTCCTTATCAGTGAAGTAATCTTTCATTTACTTGTTAGTTATCACATTATGACTTCAAAGAATGCTAATAAAGATCAGGATCTGCTTATTAGCAGATCCACACAAACTACTTTTCTGCTGTCTCAATCTATAAAATTATCTTAAATTCTGATTTTACTGAAAGTTATCCCATGATTCTTCTTGACTGAAAATCAGTTTCGTTTGCAGTATTATTCAACTTTTCAAGTATGTATTGTACAGGAAAATAGAAGCTTTTGATTTGATTACTTGAGTTCAGTAATTAATTACTTTAATATCACTACAACATTTGCAGTTATATTATTCACTTTTTATCAAGTTTTCTAACAACTATTCAAATTGAAGTTTAATAATAAATCCCTAACAGTGATCTTATTTATTTCGGATGCAAGTTTTATTTACAAATTTTTACTTTCAATTTATCATTAGTATTACAAATTTATCGGCTCATTTCAATTTCGATCTAAACCAATCATTTTGTGGTTCCTGCATATTTTCTGAAAATTTAACTTCATAGTAGACTATTTTTACTAGATCATTTAACGATCATAAATTGAAATAGAATTTTTGAATATTGTTTAACTATGCATTAATCAGATAAAGTTTCACTTAACACTTTTTTATGATGTTTTATATCGCAACTTTATCCAACAACTAACCTTGATTTCGTTACGCTAAAATCGTTATTCAGTCATTTTAATTATTTTCGTAAAAAAAGCAAATATCAGTGATTAGAATATTCATTTTTAGTTTGCTATTACCGTGGATTCAGCTTTTGATTTATTGATGAGTTTGAGTCATTTAATAATTTAGTAGAAACTATATAATGTATCTAAATTCAAATACCCGTGAAAATGACCAAGTTTGGACAGTTCGAATGATTAGATTTTGAATTTGAATTCATTTTATGAAGGTGTTTTCAGCTGCATTTCCAAAAGTCAATCACATATGATTAGTGTTAATAACATATGGCAAAGTTACTGTAGATTTATTTTAAAGTTAGATTAGTTGAAACTTTGAAAAAACTTGTACTCATTCGCAAATTGTAATAAAAACGATCAGGTCAGTTTCACTGGTATAAGCTTAGATGCTTACTTCTGATTACTTCTGATTTGTTGGAAGGAACACTAGTTTCTATTGCTTTTCCAAGCGTAGCCTAATAAACGAAATTTCTTTTATGTCAACATTAATAATCATATATTTCAAATTAGATGATAAAATTACTAACCACGAGACATCAGAAATTCTCGATAATCCTTAGTAACAATTATATTTTTAATCAGGAAGTAAACTGTATCTTGAATAGCAATGTAGGATATTGTAGTAAAAATTATTGATCTGATCACGTTTTAAATTTGGTAACTTGTAGCATTCATATTTGTTAATACTTAAAAATTAACATAAATTATGGTACCTCACCAATGCACATTACATCAACATGATTATGTTGAAAAATGCTTTTTATCACTTGATTTTTGAGATTGTAATCATTTGAATTCCAATTCAAATGTCTTTTGTATGGAAATTATTATTTCACATTGATGTATACTGCAATATAAAACTTAATTCTTCAAATATTATTCAGTACATTGAAAACCAAAACTTTTACTGCGTTAATACGAAAGAATCATAGAAAATGCTACAAAATAATCAAAAGAAAGAGTGCAAATTGATAACTGAAGTGATTTTATGTGTTTAATTTGAAGCTAATGCTAATTAGCGTATAAGGATAGCACTGAAAATCTTGATGACTTGAAATTTAATCTAAAAACGAAATTAAATAAAAAATAAAATTGTAAATTCTGGATGAAAAAAATTCAATTTTGTACAAACAACGTCATCATAACTTGAAAATAACGATAATTCGTTCAATTCTGCCTAAATTTCATTTATTATTTGTTAACAAATTTATTTAGTAATTGGAACTCAGAAAATTTATTGTGTATCTTTATTTACTATGTATTTTATAATTCACTGAAATGATGTAACTATTAGTTATTTATCATGCTAAATAATTTTTATTTGCCTACTTGTTTTTGATAAAATGGCAAATTCTTAGAGATTAGCTAATTTGTTTTATTTCTGATTATTATTTTTTTATTTTTTCAATTATTTGTTTGCTCAATTATTCATTCGAGCAAACAAATAATCGAAAATACAAATGAAACAAATGAAAGAATGTTCATATATTTCGTTACCGTATTTAAATGGCATTTTCTATTCTTCTGTTATGCGTTAATGCACATATTATTTATTTATTTATTTATTTTAATATATCTACTTTTTTGCTTGTTTGTTTGCTCATCAACTTTTAATGTATTTTAGCTTATTAAGCTATGTAATTTGCATTTTGCTTCATTTTTTATAATAGAACATTCTTGTATCTATTTATGGCTCATTTGTTCAGCACTTAATCAGTCTAATAATTAATTGCTCTCAACTATATTTGCTAATTTTTATTTTTTGTTGCTAAATATTTTATCAATAAATTATTGTATTTTTCTATGCCACTTTTTTGTATTTATACGTTGAAAGTAAAAAATTTTAATCCTACTACAATAGAAGCTAAACAAAAAGTTCAAAATGGCTTTCAGATGTGCAAAAGGAGTACAAAATTCTTAAAAATTTGCTATACAATTTGCAGCTGACAAATGAACTAAAACAGTTTCTTACTTTGGATCTTAGCTATTTAATAATATCTGCTTTTAGCATCACTCAGTTCTTTTTTTTTGCTTTTTCTTTGATGTAAAGAGTTGTAAATAGAATAATACTAATACTATAACTAATAATTTTCAAAATTTAGCTTCAAGGAGCAGCAAAGATGTATTTGAATCAAAATTCTTTAATGATTTGTTGAGATTAAAAAACTTCAAGTTAATGATATTTTTCTACTCAATCAATTGCATCATTTGAATTTGAATAAATTGAAAACGACAGATGATAGAAAGTTTTGTTTTAGTGCAGTTGCAAAAGCTTTGTCTACTTATTTTTCTCAACCATAATTGGAACTTTTGCAGAAAACACGTTGATGGATGAAGAACTGATAGAAATCAAAGAACTTTTGGAAGATGCAAAGCTGATTAAAGTGCCTTCGTATAAAAAAGTAATAATCACTTTGTCAGGTTATTTTATTTATTCGTTTTAATATTGTCCAAATATGGCTTCTAATGCAATTGCAGTATAAATCGATGATTGCACATATTTATTAATTCTGTTATATGAACAAATAGATCAAAATAAAGTATTGAGTTCATGAAAACTTTCATTTATTAATTATTGCTTTGGAAAGATATTGAACATTGAGATATTAATATTTAAAGTTAACAAAATAAAAAGGGAGTCATTGACGTAATTGCTATAATTTTGTTCATTCAAAAATGCAAAAGTAATTCAAATGGTCAATTAATGCTTTTTCATAGTTTTTGGTAAATTAATATGGCTAATAAATTAAAAGTGAGAAAAAGTTGACCGAATAAATGCGAAATCGCAAGACTCACATCGGTAAATTGAAAGCATAAACGAGAATAATAATTATTCGAGCAATGGGCCAATACTGCTTTTTTTTATACCATTTATGTTTCTGCAAAAATTTATCACAATTTGATGCATTTCAGTGTTTCAAACTTGTACTTCCACATGTTGTTCTTGTTGCCGTCGTGTGTTTGTACACAGTAATTGGCGCATGGGTTTTTTACACTCTCGAATCACCTTATGAAGACATGGTTAATTATTTGAATTCAAAACACGTGAATTTGTATTTCTCATGCAAAAAAGAGTGCAATAGAAGTTGTTCATGAATGAGCATAACTTTTGGAATTTATAATCAGCTTTTTGTAATCGACTTCGCTTTTCATAGATTTTTATAGATGAAAAAAATTGGCATCGAAAGGATTACTCAGCAACGAGATGATTTACTAAAGGCATTGTGGATGAAACGTAAAGAATTGAAAAGATTTGAATCTGATGTGTGGATTCACTCAACTAACGCAAAACTGCAAGAGTTTAACGAATGTTTGTATAAAGCTTTCAAGGATTATTATGTTAGGTAGGTTTATCAGTTTTCTTAAGTGAAGTATCCAAAAATAAAATTGTGTGGGCCATTATCAGCCATTAATTTGAAATTTATAAATTGTTTTAATCATAATGCTGAAAATTAAAAAATTCATTAGAACAGTAATTTTACCATGAAATTTCATGTAAAAATTATTTCTCCCACGGTAAATAAATGTTTTAGAAAACCCTCTGAATATTTTTCATGTCAGGCAGATTGAAACAATGATAAAAACTTTTAACTTTAATTCATAAATATTCGATCTATTTTTTCTAGCTTTTATTGCAGCAAAATATGAAAAAAAGATGAACTGAAATTCAAATAGAAATTTTTACCACTTTCTACAAAAGATTCACCATTAAAATTTCAAGGTACTGTTTAATTAAGCTGTTAAAGTCGTTGACAATTTCAATGATTTAATTTTGGCAAAAGCAGTTTAGGTACATGGACATACGCGTTTCTAAATCAGTTGCTGATAGACAACAAGTAAAATCAAAAAGGTATGCATAAAATTAGTTATTTTTTTTGACTAAGAAACTAATATTTAAAAAATAGTTGTTTATATGAAATTAAATTATCATCAAATTAAAGTTAATAGAATAAGAATTACTAACAAAGTTAGTATATTATTGGATGGTAAGTGCAGTAGCGGTCAATGTTAGCAATGTTCGTTTGAGTTCTGAAAGTAGTAACTGCTGTTTATCTCCAACTACAATATTGTAAGTACAGAAATCCATGTTTGAAAGTTGTTCAACATCACTCAAAAATTTTTGTATTTTTCAAATAAAAAAGGCATCATTCAGTATAGTATAAATATTGAGCTTTTGAAAAATCAGAAAACTGAAACTTCGATCAAGATCAGTGTCGAACCAGAAATTGTGGACTGCGAGTAGTTCATTATTTTTCGCCGCAACAACAATGGCAACCATAGGTTTGTACGCAAATGTGATTGTTTTTTTCGTAACTGCTGTCTTTCAAAAAATGTGAATTTTCTGATCACTGATGCAGGTAAGTACTGACTGAAAATTCGGAAATATTTCATTTTTTATTCGCCTAATAGAAGTTAAGTGATTGTTAGTAATTTTGCTTTCCATCACTGAAAAGTACTAAATATTTTTTTATCTTTTGAGATTTCTCGTTTCAATTTTTCACTCTTTATTTTTTTTTGAAATTCAACAATATATTCTGACTTGCCTTATGAAGATCTAAGACATGCAATCATTTTATTAAGTGTAAAATATTTTTTGCTTAAGAAATTTTTCAAAATTTGATAATGTATCTAATGAACTGTTATCATTTTTTGTTTCCAATGATTAATACTCTTAACATGTTTTTCACATTTTATAGACTTCACAGACTTTCTTGCACAAAATGTTTTAATTACCATGATATGATTTAAAATGTTGATGGATACAGTATATTTTGGCATTATCACAGAAAATGACCTTCAGAGTAAAGCTGTAGGAAACCAAAAAATAACTTTAATATCATTATCCAGAAGTAATACAGGGTATAGAACTTTCTTCAACAATACTTCAGTACATGGTTTTTTCAATTAGGTCAATTCCTAGGCTATGGTAATATAGTGCCAGTTACGAAGTATGGAAGAATTGTTTGCGTAATATTTGCATTAATTGGCGCGCCACTAACTCTCATTACGATCGGTGACCTCGGAAAATTTTTATCAGAATGTACTATATATCTTTACAATAAGATCAAGAAGGTGCTACGGATGTCAAAGCGTCATTTTTGCAAATTTAAATTACGAACTGGAGGTTAATGAGTTTTTCTTTGCAGAAGATAAAAGTTTGACAAATGTTTTGCAAGTTTAGTTTACTGAAAAAATTTGTTAATTTTTGAAATTTGTATTTACGAATTCATTTCCCAGTCAAAAATGAAACTTCTTGAATATTTAGATAGTTCAAAATGCAAACAGACTAAAATTTTCAATGAAAATGAAAAAGAGCCATGCAATTGGGATGACCTTGCACTTGATAAAATTGAAGTGCCTGTAATCCTAGTATTTATCATACTGCTTGTAAGTTTTCATTCCCCATCATAAAATAGCTTCTGCCATCAATGCCTATCAATGATCACAGCTGTTAAAATATCTTGATCAAAAAATTAATTGCGTACTGAAAGATTAAGAATTAATAGTAAAAAAGATGGCATGAATTATTTTTTCATCCCTGAAGTATAATATCAATTTTTTGTCGAACATAAGTTATGCTTATCAATTACCGATCCAATTACTGATCAATTGTTTCACCATGTATCATTGTTAAAAAATTAGATAATTTGACTAGCATCAAGCAGCAGATGCCTAGAAGTAAAAAATATTGATATTCGTCAGCTATATACGAAATCTTAGGTCTCTACAAACGAATAGTGAATTGAAATGCTCAAAGTATTGTAAAGGGTTTTGAAAATAATGAATGGATTTCCATGCGAATCACACAGAACATTTGAGTGTATTTGAAAACGTCACCCTTTTAGTTAACAAAACCTTCTTCGATTGTGTGCTTTAGTAATGATGCTATTCGAAATCAATCAGTAATCCAAAAATCAGTAAAAAATCAGTCAATAATTGCATTTCTACAAATAGGTAGGTATGTTTTATTACTGTAAAACGACAGCACATACTTTTGTAGTATTTTATCAGAATGCTTTCTTAAGATTACTGATCATAATTTTAGCTAGATCAATTTTTATTGCTTTCAAGTCGATTTTGTCGGCAACGTTGTAACTTGAATCAGATTTTAGTCAGTATCTGCGTATGTTTATAGTCGCTAGTCAGTATGATGAGGTTCATTTTAATTTTACTTTTAACTACAATTTTTACTTTTAGCAGCAATGATTATACATCCATAATATGTCATCAAGATGTTACAAGCAAGAATAATTATAAACATTGTTATTTATTATTACGCAGCTATATTAGTAATTTTTCACATTATTAGCACACTAATTATCCGTTTAGATCGCACTGCAGACTTTTGTGATAGCCACTACCTATAATTATCTTTGTCTAAAGTTTGCAAACTTTAATTGAGGCTGTTATTCAGTATTAGGTTAAATACTTTAATAAATGCAAATATGCAGAGTAATAACAAAAATGGTACTGAAAAAAGAAATTTCAATGTGTCATAAATTAATCTTATTAGATCACAACTCATGAACTATTTGCATTATAGTGAAATAAATTTATTATTCTTTCATATTTTTCCTTTCTGTTTATTCCTTGCAACCACGAAGTAGCATCAACATTATTGAAACTATTTAATATTTAGAAATATTAATCTAACATCTTGCTGAAACATCTGAAGTCATGCAGATTAATTACTGCAATGAAAAGCGATAGGAGTGGATGATTTAGATGAAGTTTCAGTAATTCTTTTCGTATTCCTATTCACACTAACCTTTATGACTGTTACTCAGCCTTTTAGAGCTTCTAATTTCATGAGACTAGTATAATTGTTAGTCTTGATCCTTTGCTGATAATTGCAAAGGTATTATTTTAATTAATAATAACAGAACTATGATGAAAAAAGCAATTTATGCCAGTGTGCACGTGGCACGAATAAAATAGTTTGTAGCATCAAATATAGCTTTCTCAGTTATACGCAGCTTTATTGTGCGCAATAAATTAATTCTTTTTGTAGAAATTGAATTAAGATCAAGTATCTCATTCTATGATTCTTTTCTACAAATTGAGGAGTTTGTTGTTGATGCAGAAAATTATAAATTTTACCGTACTACAATAATAATAACAACAATCAGTTCTACAATATTTTGCTTTAAACTTTCGATAATGAACTCAAGTTTACTTCTAAATGAGCAATCCGACACCTCGATCATTTTCAATTGGAAGAAAATTTTATATTTAAGAAAATTAAAAATTTCAAATTGCTAAATACGAAGTTTTGCATTTTTTTTAGAAATGATCAAATCTGCGATGTTATTTGCATGCAGTTATAAAAATTGTCTTTCAGTCTTATATTGCCTTTGGAGGTCTACTCTTTGCGCTTCTCGAACACTGGTCTTATATGGACGCCTTTTATTTTTGTTAGTACGAAATTTTTAGAAATTTTATTAAAGTATGAAATATGTTTGAATTTTAATTCACTTTCTTACTAAGTCTTCCAAATTTTGAATATTTTTGATCAATTTTGAACACAAAACATTTGTGTTCAAAATTGATCAAAAATTGTTTTGAATGTGATCTACATAATCTTTTTTTAGGTTTTGTGTCGTTAACTACTATTGGATTTGGTGATCTTGTGCCTGAGAGATATGAGTATGTTGACTTAACAGTTTGTCAAATTGTAGAAAGTATAACTTTTTTAAAAGAATTTGAGTCATAAAAATAATATTTTTCTTAGTTATCGATATGTAATACAAATTTCGCTCAGCTAGGAAAAATGCTTTGGGGAAGTCTCGAGGATCTAAGATCCACGGCAAACGTTTAACATTGGTCCTCAGTTTATTGACATACCAATAAGTGTTAAACAATATAGTCCTTTCAGCTATTGTAATCTTTATATTGTAATTTTACTTCCATAGTTTAAGTTTATCATTTTCGGTGAAATCGAAACAAAAATTTGGTGGAAAAAGTATTCAACATAATTGGAATTCATTTATATAAAAAAAGACAAAAAAATAAATTACACTGGAAGTTCATTTATTTACCTAAAATATTATCAGCTCAAAATGTTCACTTTTTTCTTTCTAACAAAAATGACTGAAACCAATTTCAACACAACTATCACTAAAAAAGTGAAAACAAATTAATTAAAAACTATTATTTTAAATATTTATCACTATTGTAGATATTTATTGCTCATGCTGATTTACCTGGGATTTGGTCTTGCGGTCACTACAATGTGTATTGATCTTGTTGGTATTCACTATATACAAAAAATTCATTATTTTGGCCGGAAATTCTGTGGTACCGATGTTTTCCAATTATTGAGAAGAAAACGCATGATTGAACGTCGTCTTGCTATGGGTCAAGGTGAAGAACTCTTAAAATTGTACATTGAACAACTACAAGATCGAAGGTACATAACGTTCTTTGATAGTAATCTAGCACGTTATTTATAAAGTGCAGAAAACGTATGCAACAAAAATTATGTATAAACTTGAATGCTTTCAAAATATATATGTTTCTCGCGTGGCATTCGAAAATTAAATTGTTTACAGAAATTTTGAGGATAACTAACCCATAAATAGTGATATCCTAAGTAATAATAGAATCATTAAATTCTATTTTAAGAATGTCAAAGGCAGCAAAACAGAGGGAACTTCAGTATAATAAGATCATCTCATCTGCACCAATGTCATTTGGCAGCGACGTGAATAACGACAATAACAACGGTAGCGTAGAGTGGTATGGAAATTTGCTACTAATTGATGAAGTAATGGAAGTATAATTAGGTACTATATTAAGTGAATTGAAATTAAGTATTTCACTTTATGGCCAGAAAGTGTTCTGACTTTTCCTCTTCTCTTAAAATATATCAAAATCGACCTATTTACCGCCAGGAAACAAAATACAAACGACACATTATTTTACTGAAATCAAAAATTAGTCCAAGTTTGTCAGAGGCTAAATAAGCAAAATGAAAATAAAATAAAATGAAAACTATGGGTATACACATACATAAATACAAATTATGTTGCAGATTTTTTGTCTTAATAAAAGTACTTCGGTTATTACGATAATTTGAAGTTATAATTTCCAGTTGTCAAGTTTTTCACATAGCCCATTGGTAATGAAAGTCACTAATATCCAGTGAAGAAAGTTTTGATCAAATCTATTTTAAAATAAACGAAAAAAATTTCCAAGGAGCGTAATTATTCATTCTAGACAGTGAAACTGTCAACTTCACGTATTCATACGTATTTTCGTATTATATACAGATGCAAAACAATAAAGTCATATAACTCTTGTTCATTATATCTTTCCTTTGCCAGTAAAGGCTGAAACAAATTAAACAGTAGGTTCGGGAATAGTTTCCAGAACAAACAAGCATTACTTTTTTACACAGAATCCGTAGATTCCAATAACTGACTGCTGACCGCGTGACCCATGTTCTCTCCGAGTGAAGATCACAATGAAAACTTTTTCAATCCCCTATTTGGCCTTTAGTAATGATTTAAGCGTTTGCTACTTTTCTGTTTTGATCCAGCTACAGTTGAAGAAATGGCCATCCAATCACTCATGGAATTAATTTACAGATTAATTGAGTAAATAAATTACTAACATTTTAATCAAAACAGTGGTAATTGAAATTAGAAACAACTAATCAATCGAAGTAGTATTATTCCTTGTGACTTTATCAGTAGAATAGAAATGATATGATATCCGTAAAAGGCAGCTACCATTGCTGCCACACATCTTCCGTTTTGGTACGGAATACTAGTGCTATTACTTATTATTTTCCAAAATAGCTGAGATTGAGTCGTTTTTTTTGCTCATAGTAAGCATTTTGATAATCAAAACGAGCAAAAAAACTCAGTATTCTTATTTCCGTTACCTGCAACTTTCAGTCAGTTTCACGAAAACTTACGAACCGAATTATCGGTGCAGATAAAATCCAGTATCAGTGATAATTTGCTAGCAGTCCCAAGTTTGTTCTTGTTCTTGTCTCTGTTTTTTTTAAGGAATATATCTTTTAAATAGTAAATTACTGTTCTAAACAAGAGCAAATATTTTATGCTTTTTTTGATTGCTTGATACTGCTGTTTATTTGACTGTAGTGCTTTCAATTTGAATGGGTCGAGCTTTGAAACGGAGTAATCTATGATCTTAATTATAAAAATATGATAATAAGTATAAAGTTATATGATGTGAATCTTTTTCCAACTTAAATTTAGAAAATGATTTTAAAAGGAGAAACAAGTGAGAAATTTCAGATGCTCTTGCTAGCATGTCATTATCACCATCTCTCTCCTTGCATGAATTGGTATATAAAGACCGTCTTGAGTTTTCTACTCTAAAAGAATCTCCAAAACTTACCTCTTCATTGGAAACTATTAATGAAACTGGTAAATTCACCGTAAATTATAAAGTATATCTAATTGATATTAATTTGACACTACAGTAAGTTCCAGTCAGTTTCAATTATCCATGTTTTTTGTAACATACTGCTAATAAAAATAAATTTTTCGCAGCAGTAATTTTGAGTTTTATTTATTTATTCTTTGAAGGAAAAAGCAATTTTGAATTGAAGCTAACTGCTTTCAGAAAATGTAATAATAATGAACAAGTGATAATAATTTAGCTGAAGTCGTGGCATGTGTACACGAAAAACTTTGTCCACCTGTAGAATCTCCTCTGGCTTCTGTGTCATCACCGCCAAAATTGGTGGAATTAGACAAGAAATCAGTTATTCCGCTTGTCTCACCTTCAGATAGTGTAAACACTTTGCATTCGCTAAAATTTCGAAATATTACTGAAATATTTTCTCCTTCGGTGAAGTAACTTCCATAATGAACAGTACATTCTAAAATCATATTTGAAACATCGTTTTAGTAGTGCTATTCTTCAAACAGCCTCATAATTTTTCTTTCTTTTTTTGCAGCCTGTTGGATTGGCTTGCATGAACAATTGGGATTCTTATATAAAAATGATCAATGAATCTCATAAATCGTTTGCCAAGTATGCTTGCTACTGAAATATAATTATATCAGATGTGTTTTTTGAAGTATTACTGAATATAGAAAATAGCAGAGATATTCATAAAGTTTTTAGGCCCGTCCAAATACAAGCAGAAGTATTTGTTGCGGATCAAGTAATTCCTGTTTTCAAGAATGAGGAAGTGTTATTAGAACAAGAGGAAGTAAACAGGTATTTTCACCAAATTCACCTCAAAAAGTTGGTAATTGTGACAGAATTAATCGCACGCATCTTTCAAATCTATCCTGCGCTACATTATTTTTGCATTTCATACTTGAGCTTTTTTGGCAACAATAATTTGTTTTTAAAAGCAAACTTTTCCTGTCGTTGCTTTTATTCTAACGTATTTCCAATAAGTTTTTAGAGTGAATGATCATTTTTTAGATTGTTTAGCTTTCATGAAAAATTTCGTTTTTCACTTTTATTATTGTTTTTTTTTTTGAATTTTTTAACCACATGTGATCTGTTTATTACTTAATATTTGTTACATTAAAGTAAACAGTTACATTTTAGAAAAACTTGTAAGAAGTGTAAATCACATAGAGCAAAATAGTTTTTGCTAAAAACTTAAGAGAACTGGTGTTAACTTTTTAAAATTGTAAAAATAAAGTGATTGTAAAGAATCAGTGGGAACCATGAAAAAGCACAGCTGATTTTTTTTTGCTACCAAATTCAAAACTTAAATGGCATGACTCTCGTTTTACAAAGTTGCATGCTTTATATTCTCAATTTCTTGTTCAGTACCTTTCGACGTGGGTTTTATTTTAGTATTCATATCTATCAATAACTAAATACAACCTTTAAAATTCATTTCAACTTATTTACATTCATGCTTAAACGAATTCCAGAAAGATATATCACAGTATCAGAAAAATCAAGATATATCAGAAAGACATATCAAATTATACAGTTGTACTACTACAGTTGCCTTCAGTAACTGCACACTTTCAATAAATAGTAATTTGGAGAGAATATGACCAAATTTTCTAAACTCCTTTCTCCACTCTTTCCTTATATTTATGATCTTTGCTTTGCTGATTTCAAAGATGCGCAGTTTTAAAGTAAAAAAATTTAACGTTAAAAGTTATATTACTGAAACTGCAATAAAACAATATTTTGTCGCATTTTATATCTATAAACAAAACAAATTTTATTCCTGAAAATGTGCGCTTTGAAAGCATTTCTAACAACGATTTTTACGGTAGTATTCAGCACAAAAAATTATTGAATCTAAGAAATATGAGGTTCATCACGAATGCAAATTTTCGTTATCATTTCTTTTTTCTTGCATATCTTTTATTTGTTCAATTACTTTATCCTTGGCTTTTTTTGGAAAGCACGGAAAAGATTTGTTTAAAATATGATATTTTATTTCTGCAACGAAAAGGATTAATTTTTAGAACTTTATTTAAAGTAAAAAGTGGCATTAACAGTGAAGTTTTTCTTTAACTGCACAATGAAGAAAAATTAAGCAAACAGAATTATTCAGTAATACAGATAAAGCACTTTGCCCCAAGTTGTCCTTCTTTTTTTCCCACTTTAATATCGTTCTTTTAATTTATTTAAATTTAATCTTGAATTTTGCATCTAATCAGATTTGTAAAGTTACAAAATTTTAGCTGAACCTTCTGAACTCTGCTCCTAGCCAAAGGATATTTTTGCAGTTTTAAAAAAGTTTGAGTATCTTAATTTTCAGCCCGAAATTTCAAACAACTTTGGAATCTTTACCATTAGTATCCTCACATATCTCATCATCAGTCTCTTTATCACACACAAATGTTACATCACACATTTTGCAACGACCGTCGAATCTTCTTCTAACTGCAGTTAAAACAGAAAAAGACGAGGAGTATAAGGCGGAAAAGAATGCAAAATCATATTTGCATGCAGATTTAGCTGTGAAGACAACTCAGCTTTATTATCATAATATGCCAGTTTATAGTGAGCATGAGAATGCTATCAAAACAGAAGTTGTGCTACAAAATTTGATCAATGCATCAGAATCAGTCGTTTGTCGTAAACTACCACCGACTGTTGTTGATCATAATTATTGTTTCGTAGTTGATGCAGAAAAAATCAGTGCAGATTCAATTTTTCGTGATATGGTCCATTGGAGTCACGCAAGTAGATTGACACAGTACTTTTATTCCGATGATATGCATACATTTTATCGCGTCATTTGCATAAAAGTTAAAGGAAGAATAATTGCCATGAAACTGATGGCTGATGCTCAAAATCAAACACCTAACTCTTTGCCACGCTCACTCTTTACGCCAGTTTCAACCTCATCGCGATCAATACCACTTCGTCGGCAGTCTCAAACATGCAGTAATTTCGCGCCACGTTGTTCTATTTCATTAAGTAGCAGATTCTCCGATAGTATTGTATCATTAACAAACGTTTACATTGCTACACGCTGCTACAGCTTTTGGAAAACGTGTCCATCATTTCATCGCATTATTACACTGTTCGACCGTGTTGGTGAAAATTCAGAAGCAAATAGTAAATTTAAAAAGCGATTTTTTTTACAATATACCTGGCGTAATACAAAACCTATGGATAAAGCGCGTGTTATACGTGAGTATGGATCGCATTTTAGAAGAAAGCCATTTCAACCAGATACTACCAAAGTTTTTGCAAGACGTACCTTCAAATGAAAGTCACATTTAATGATTCTTCTCGTCGTTAATTGTTTATTAGTCTGTATCGTGATGAGAACTTTAGTGAATACGGAATTGTTTAAATAAAGAATTATAGACTATTTTTGATAGTCTGTTCTTGTAACATTTTGTTTCACTTCCGCAATGGATTTAGAATTTCAGCAGGTCTAAAGTTATCTTAAGTTTTGTTATCCATACTTCTTGCATTAATTAAAACTTGCAGGTCTGCTATGAGTTTATGCTTTTTTGATAGTTTGTTAAATGTCATTCTATATAATTCATTTATATTTGCATATCTCTGACATGTTGATTTTTTATAAAAGACATGTGATTGTTTGTCAAAATTTTAGTAATCTCAGCTTTGGGAATCTCTGAAAAGAGCTGCTATTCAAGCTACAAAGATTTGATAGAAAAGTAAATAATTTTCGACGAAAATTTTATCAGTTTGGAAATAATCAAAAAGTTAGAAAAGGAATTGACATCACACAATACATTTATATGTGTGACAGTATATGATATATTCTTGCACAGCAGTGACATGGTCATTATTAGTGCAGCACTTGATTTTGAATAATCGGACCGTTCATTAAGTGATAAAGTTCAACAGTGAATTTCGATTTTGCGTCAATTATTTAAAATTTCTAAAAATTCATGGTTTTAAAAAGATATCGATCTAATAGATGAACAAATGGAACGAAATTTATTTAGATCATTTCAAAGAGCAAGTCTGAAAAAACGCTTACTTAAAAACATTTGTTTTTTTGAGAAATAATTTGCAAAAAATTTCGTACTCAATAATAATAATAATAATAATCAGAATAATAATAATAATAATCAGAATAATAATAATAATAATCATAATCATAATTACAATAATAATAATGATAAAATTACCATTACTATCAACAGATATGAAATATTTCCCAGTAGTAATTTGAATAAATCCAGTCATGACCAAAAATATTTCTCTTTAATTACAATTTTAATTCAGTTCAAAATTATTGTAGGCATACTTGAATAAGAAGTGACTTTTTGTTGAATAATAACAAATGCATGTATATTTGTTATCCAGCCAATGCTTCATCAAGTATTTGCTCATTAAAAACAAAAAAGCTGTGTACCTAAAAGTTGAAAATTGGTATATTATGAGTTGCAGCAAAATGATTCTTCAATGACGAATTTAATGCTGAAGTTCTGCATCTATTATTTATAATTTAAAATTAATTTTGAAATATCATCGAACTATTTTCAAATATTTCATCCACTGTATCCATTTTTAAATTCAAACTGTACTGAAATTGATTAGATTTCCAAACATTGAGGGTTCAAGCGAAATGTTTAAAACATGCTGATAGAGCGAGCAGTAATTCGAGCGAGTCACTAATCACGTTTCCAGTAGCAGTTAATCAATCTGCAGGTATTTTAAAAATCTTACTTCTTCGGGCATATGTAATGGGTCGTTCATTTGTCAAATTTATCATCAGTTTGAATTTAGCATTAATTTCATTTAAACTGAAAATTCAACTGATACATTTTGCCATTCATGAGAGGGTCGTTAGTACATTTTTTTTTGCTTGTCAAGCGTACTGCTAGGACAAGGATTCTTCAAATACGTTGCATGCTTCATTTCAGTTTTAACAAAGAATTCTGAGTTACATCTCATTTTAGTTCTTGAACTTTCAGAAAATGATTTGTTACTTGGATATTCAAAGGTATTTTCAGTTGAGAAGTCAGCATTGGATGCTGATCAAACTATGCGGAATGTTTTAAATTGTCCTGTTGAATATATCAGCAAAGTTTGATTAAACTATCTTAACTTTTTTTTTGACTGCTCTAATATGCTCACAGGACTGGAAAATAGACTTTCATTGATTGTTAAACCTTTTATTGTAATTAGTTTATTCTTGCTTACTGAAATGCAAGTTTCTAATCCCTAAATGTATTAATAGTTCTTGAAATTTCTTAGTTTTGTATGAATATTTTAGGACCCACCAATGATTGCACTTCAGAATTATTGTTTTGTTATCAGTAGCAACGGAGTTGACGTCGATAAAATAATGAAGAATTCAAGGTGGTGGTGGAAGCAAACAAGCTCGAATACGCGTTATTATTACTCAACTGAAATGAAAACCTTTTATAGGGTATTTTTTCTCTCATCAACATTTATTATCCAACTGAAAATATTTAAAAAATATTGATCAAATCCGTACTCATTATCATAGTAATTACTATTATTTATGGTGTAATAAATAATTCTAGTTGACATTACTATCGTTTTTTTTATTGAACATATGTATTATTTTCCTTTGTCCTTGTTTATTTGCTTTTATTATCATGATTATTGCCTGATGTATTTTACTTTGACTACTTTGATTACCTTCATCTTAAATTAATATCCGTATTACATGTACACCAAAACCATTAATTCGTTGCTATTATAGTTGAAACTTTATAACCCACATTTATTAATACACATAATGAATGCTGTCTGTCACAGTGGAATAAATTCATCACAAAACAATTAAACATGGTAATTTTCTCAATGGTCCTTTTGATATTGCTAGTCAAAAATTATATCAGGTTTATTGATCAAAAATTTGCGTTATTTGAGGTTGATGTACTGCTATGTCGAGGGGAAATACGCTGTGCATATATGAGAAAGCACCGAACTACTATTATCGAGCAGGTCCCATTACATAAACTATTTAGGTAATTCAGAAAAAAATTGGATAAAGCTGAGTTGATAATGCTATGAATTATTTGCTAAAAGACATCATAAAATCAAATTATAACTTTTATAATTGCATTAAAATACTGCTTTTTCAACAGATATTTTAAAATTAGCTATTTTCCAAGAAAAGCAAGTAAATGCAAGTTTGAAATAAAATAATAATTTGGATTTTTGATGGAATTGTTAATAATTTCAGGCCTGAAATTTTGCATTTTAATTTCTTATTTAGATCGAATATTGATATTTGTTTGATAAATGTACTGGTATTGTTTTAGAGTCACGAGAATATTTGGCCATTGGAAAACATGTACAAATTTTCATCGAATTATTAGTGATATTCATCCAGTGACAGAACGTAAGTTATCATTTCCGTAAGTTTCGATCCATTATGTAAGCTGAGATTACTTTACATTAAAACTGAAGCGAAATGAATAATGGCAATAAGAGTAAAAATCCTCATTCTAGTAATGATATTGAAAGATCGAATAATAATATTAATATTCATGTTTACTGAAATAATAAATAATGATTGGCTCTATAACACATTTCAAGATAAATTTTCAGGTGGAATCGAGTTTTATGGATTTCAAAAACGAATATTTGTGCAATATTTATGGAGAACTGAAAAAGTTCGCATTTTTTTCATTTAAATGGATACCATTATATTTCCACAATCATAGAATGATTTAATGATAATTAAATGAATAAAAATGATTTGAAATGACGAAAAATATTTAATTTTCACTCATTTTTATATCAATTTTTAATATTCTTAACATATATACTTACATTCATGTGTAAGTTTTCGTGGACTAGAATTGAGAATTCAGTGCATTCATGCAATATTCATAAGCTTATCTTGATAGAATAATGCAAAAATTCATCTATACTGTGTAATAAGAGCAAGATTTATCAATATGAAACACCTCAGCAATCGGAAAAAGGACGTGTTTTACGAGAATATCTTGCGAACACAATTACGATACCGAGATCAGGAATCAAACATAGCCGAACTAGCATAGAAGCACGGGATAAAGCTGATGTTAATACCAGTCATGGACAATCATGCAGTGTTGTTAGTTTTCAGCGCTGGCCAGCAATCATCGTCAGTCATGCATCATTAATTAGCCCATCTGTAAAATTTTGCTTCTGCATAAATGGCTACAAGCATGCTTGTAATCAAATGTATGAGTGCAATTTATTTATCATTATTTGCCTTCCAAGTATTTATGCAATACATTCATCAGTTTAACCTTGACCGATACTAGTTAGTTCTTCTTGCTTTTGAGCGCTGATTTCCAATAAAATTTGTTGAAAAATTTGGCGTTGCAAAAAAGTATTTACATGATTTTAAACTTTAATTAATGTGTTTTTCATTGTTCAAGTACAATATTCTATGCTTGAAAAGTTGCTTTTAATTACAAGAAAAAATCAATTTTTTTATTGTTCTAATATTGTTTAGTATGATTTACATCATTTATGAGAATTACTGACAAAAAAATTTCAGCAACGCAACACGTCATCAGAACTGGTTTCTGAGTCTAGTCATCCATCACGTATTCCGCGGATACGAAAAACAACATTGAAAGATCGACCAAGATCTGAATTTAAAAAAACAACATCAAAACTGATTCAACCAGAAAAATCATTCAAAAATAGACCTAATGATGTAACGATGTTATCGAATTGCCCGTCAAAGATACCTCAGATGCGTAGTTTGAATTTAAAAAGGCATGCAAAAACTTATCAAATTTAATCATAGTAATCAGTCTGTTCCCTTTTAGCAATAGCAATTACTGAAATATATTCACAGCTGAAACGTCTTGGAACAAATAAAATGTGCAAATTAAGGTCAAAAGTTAATCAAGATTTGTTTAATGACTGAGATCCGATGATCATTTCATGATTTTTATAACTTATAATAAAAAGACTGGAAAAATGTCTGGTTCAAATATAGAAAGTATTCACTTAAACTGCATAACGGATTTTTAGGATTTAGAAACAAACCTGGTTAATAATTTCTCAAGTTTTGAAAAAATTTCAGCAGATACATTGTATTTAAAAATTCTACAACAATCTGATATCTTTCGATAACTTTGATTTATATGAAACTAATGACGAGCTTATCTTAAATGAATAAAAAATGATAATTTTTTGGATTTTTATGTACTTCTTTAGACTGAATAAAGAGACAAGAGATTAGCTTCAGACGGCTTGTGATATGAACACTTTGTCAACCTCTTTTTTGATAGAAATAAAAAAATTGCTCATGATTTATCTGATTTTTAGTACAAAACACATTTTCATACAAAAGATTAAATTGTAATCATTTAAGATGTTTAAATTTATCTTGATTAATAACTTTAGAATAAACAGTCACGTTTTCATCATTTTTGAATTATGAATTACAATTTTTGTAATTACAATTATAATTTCCTGTTTATCGAACAAAGCTTATTGAACAAAAACATTTTATGCCAGCTTCTAATTAACATTGAATGAAGAAAGTCATTAAAGTTAGCATGTTTAGTTTCTATTTTTTCATAAAATTGATTAAGAAGACTTAAAAAGTCGTTTGTTTTTTTTTGCACATGTAATCGTAATTTCGGTTTTTAAATATTTGAATGATTCAAAATGCACAAAAGCTGTTGTTGACATCATATTAGTTTAATAAATCAATATAAGTACTGTATTTTTGCATAATAATTGTTGTGCTGATTTTGAATCTGTTCAGATATTCGAAAAAAATTCGGAAGGAAATGATGCATCTGATAAACACTGATCTTTGTTCTATCATGTGAAGAAATAATGCTGTCAATTTCAATTAATAATTAAATTGAATAAAATTTTAAGAACTAAAATGCAAAAGAAAACATATTGCATTAATTAATGATTCCAAAAATGAGAAGCAGCTTTTGTAATCGGCAAATCTACAAATGAACTGAATCAGAAAATTTTTTCACGACATAATTAATTTTATTATGTTATTTTGGTGACAATAATACTGACAATTATTTCTATGCCAGTCAGACTCAGTAATTGGATGGATACATTACTCGGTTATTAGTGACTGCTAATTGAATCTTTCATACTAGGACAAATTAGTCATTGGATAAATGGAATAAAGCTGATAACGTTGCGTTGGTGATGTCAGAGAAGGATATCGTGGAGTGCCATAAGCTAACACATATCTGAAAACTATTTTAAGTCATCAAAATTTACGAAAATAAATTTGCTCAAAACTTCAAAATCTGATGTACCTAAATCTCTTATATTGATCTTATTTATAAACTCAGTTTACAAAACCTCTGATCTAAATATTTGACACTATTATTATTTTTTGTATTATGTAAAAAAAAAATCCTTCTAAGAAAAATGCTCGAAATTACCTTTCACCAACTTTAATTTTGCATATTTGGTTGCTGTAAAAATGACTTTTGGATGCAAAATCGCCCAGTCCAACAACTGTTTCGAAAGACGAATTGAAATGTGTTTGCAAATGTTTCTAATATAAATAATTCAAATAGTTGAAATGTGGTGATACTGTCAATCTTTCAAATTGCAGTTTTGTCAAATTCAATGAAATTGAAATTTATATGAATTCATTTCTAAATCACAAAAATAACTGCTTTCTTTTAATTTGTAGAAAGTGTATAAAATCTCATAATTGACTATCTTAACTTAGCGGTAAAATAATGCTGTGGATCAGAAATGAGTGAAATAAACTGCTAAAAAAGCCAACAAACATTCATTTCGTTCGCAATAAATTGGATATTACATCGATGAAATTTAGAATCTGTCATTATTTGAGAATAAACATTGTACATCAATATTTCCATATCTTTGTTGCAGCAGAGATAACCTAAATGTTAAATATAATAAGTCGTTCAACTCATAAAATATACATTAATTCAAATAAAACTCATTGAATTTTCAGTTTCGAAAACTTATTTTTTATTCTTATTTTTACTTGAGATTACATAATATTTAAATGTGAAGTAGTTGTTCAAATTAGTTTTAGACTATTTAGCTAGACTTAAATTTGTTAGCCAGTTTTCATTAGAAACAGAGATATGACTTTGGTCATGTAGGATATAATTTTTTACCATTTGTAATTATTAAAATTTCAGGAAATTACTATAAATTTGTAATAAATTGGGTCTTCAAGTTTTCGTAAATATTTTGAATTGGTTTCGCTACATATATTTATGAAATTTTTATCAAATATAATGATACAATAAGTGGTGGATACCAATAATTTTTAAGCAATAATGATATTTATTCATTCTTTGAGGATGAATATTAACTCGCAAATTTTATGCAATAACGCACAATATCACTGTTAGAACATCTCCGAACTCAGTTCAATTCGTTAAAATTTGAATTAAAATTTGACTGGAAGGTAAATTGAAATAACTAATTACCAGCATCATTTGTATAACATTCTGGTAAGGGAAATTGGTCCTCCACATATGAGCAATCGGACGATGGATTAGTTGGAGTACATAATTTAGTTGGAACCAACTCTTTAGGTATTTCCAGATATTCCGTTTCTGGATGTCGTCCTGCAAATATACAATGAAAAACTGATGAAAAAATTCTTACTTTAAAGCTGTTCATGCTAATGGAAGAAACCAAATTGATAGTGCTATTACAAGAAGGTATGATACTTTTCATCTCTGGTAATTTTAAAGGATGTATTTGGCTCCTCAATGGACTGTCGAATTTCTGCGATCGTTTTAATTTTATCAACCGTTGATGAGATTTCTGTAAACTAACTACAAAAAATAACAAATCGAAGCATTATTTTAGCCAAATTTGTTCATATATAAGATTCAATATTACTGTTGTTAAATAACTAGTCTATATAATAACAAAAAACGTGAAAGCTTACGATTAGAACAGTTGAGTTTTGAAAATTGTGACTAAATGTTTTTTCTAAATAGAAGAAAAGCAGTAGTCCGATAACGATATACATCTGCAAAATGTATACAATAGTTAGACAATCACATGTACTAAAATTATGCCTTTTGGATATTGAGGCATGGATAAAGAACTATAACGATTTTACGCGCACATTTGCAGAGATTTGCAAATAAAATGCGAATGCATTCATCATTTGCAGTGATTTTGGTCTTCTTTTGCCATTTTTGTGAGTGTGTTGAAGGAAAAAGGCAGAATAGTCAATAAATAGCATTTGCTGTGCACCAAAAATGTAAAGGCCTATTTTAATACGAGGACAAATACGAAATGAACAAAGAGTGATGAAAAAACTGCAGATGTGTTCAATAAAGTAAAACTAATAATACTCTATCCCAAAGCTCTGAAAGCAGTAGAAGTTCCAGACAGTTATCTTCAAATTTCATTAAGTAATAAATATTAATCAAAGCAACCATAAATTTGGGACTATGGTTTTATTGTAATGAAAATACTGTAGAATATATTACATTCTTTGTAATTAAGTTATTTAGCTTGCCTGGTAGATAAATTTTTTAATTATGATGCATTAATAAGAGATAATGAGAAAAGACAAAAAATATGTTATGATGAGTACATTTGTTAATATAAATTTTACACAGATAAGTCAATTTCAATATTTGAATGCTACCAATTAATTGAATAATTTAGATGAAAAGTTATAATTTGTCAATTTTTTAATTTCAAAAATGATATGCGCAAGAAATTTGGTAACAAAATTGTGAGTGAGTGAATGGAACACTGATTATAGTTACGATAACACCTTATTGAATTATTTCACGAAAGCAGTTATTTCTTTACAACTATCATCAAGAACATAATAAAACTGCAAACGAAATACTGAAAATACTTTGACAAAAAATGCACATTTTGACTAAATTACTATGACATCGTAGTGTGAATCTGAAATTTCCTTTGTTCCACCAAAGATCTTCTTGTTAAACTTTTCGTTGATAAAATCACCGCATGACTAAATTTTGTTAGAAACGCGGCAATCCGCACAAGTGTTCATATAAGTGAGTGCACTAAAAACAAACAATTAAAGGAACAAATTTTTTTCTTTCTTTATCCCAAAAAATTCAGAAAAATTTGGGTAAATAATGTGATTGTTTGATATTTAAAATATGCAACTATGAAAATTTGAAAGAATTTTACAATTCCTTCAAAGGTTAACTTTTTTAAATGCTCAATTCATTAAAATGTTTGAGACAACATTTAATTCTAATATTTCAGTACATGCAATTGCTATTTCAATTGTCTCGCAAGTTTTAGTTAATGTTTAGCTTTGTTTACTGAAAAGTCATGCTCTTGCTGCTATTACTTCGATTAAAATATCTTTATTTACTAAATAAATCAAAAGTCAAAATAATTCCAAGTGAAATAAAGCCAAGTAATTTGGAATTTGAAATGAATTTTAAATAATAGATATCATAGCACTCATATATTTTTGTAAGATTTGCCCCTCAGTCATAGAGCAATAAAAAGTGCTGCATTTTATCTAGAATTTATTATGTTATTTATCTCAAAAGTCTTTTATGCAAATTTTTGCATCATATTTTTTAAGAATGTCCCAGTACTGCTATTTGCTCTTTTGAATTATTTCTTTTATATTATCAATTTAATAAAGTCTTATGATATTGATGTTTAAATGATTTAATTTCAATTAATTACAGCTATTTTTGACTGAATATAGCCGTAATTAATTGAAATTTTGACTAAATTATTGCTTTGGCTGTTCATTGAATTATTTACATTTGTTATGCAGTTAAAAAAATAAAATGCATTGCATTATGTAAATCTTTGATATTATTACTTATAAATTTTATTTGACTAAATTTCCAAAAGTAAACTTATATTCGATAATTATTCTCCTACAACTATTTTACAAGACTATCCATAATTATTCTAACAAAAATACTATATAAATTACTTTAATGATTAAATTTTTTGAGAAATTAAGCATACTTTCATCTAGACATATCTTTACGAAACGAAGGCAAAATACTGTTTAAGAATGCTGTATTGCTTAGGCTTTTAAAATACGTAATTGCTAGAGTTTATTTCCGCCAAACTCTATTTATTGAAAAAGGAAGACAAACTGATATCAATGTACAACAAAAGTTACTGTTGTTATTTTCGCAAACAATATCCAGTAGTAGTATCCAACGTAAGCAACGATACATATGAAAACGACAAAAAAGGTGTTCAATTTTTGTTTGCATTGCAGCACAAGAAAATTTGCTAGTAATGACAAGTTGTGTGAATTACGATTCTCATAGTTTGTCATACTGTTTTCTTTGATGACTCTTTTAATATATGTTAAAGAGAATGATATATTTATCACATATTTATACTTATTTTGAAGTTTAAAACTATAATTACATCAATTATAAAATATTGTTAATTTAATAAATTATTATTCATTTAATAGTTCAAATGATTAAATGAAATACAGTGATTAATAAAAGTCAAAAGCAGAAGTCAGTGATTCACTGACTTTTGAAAATATCTGAACTTCGCTACAGGTTTTCCAATTTATTTGAGTAATTTGATGATTTCTTCTGTTTTTATTCTTTTGAAAAATGTAGTTATAAGTTGACAATTATAGTACTAATGAGATCCGGAACTAAGCTGCAATCAAAATTCTATTATAAATTGTTGATCAGGGTGATTATGACTGCCATATAAATTAAGTGATTATTGAGTGAATCATTCAAAAATTTGATTCGAAATCATGGTATTTTCCAATAGTTAATAAGCTAGTGATATACATACTTATATTTGCAACAAAACTTTCCTTACCAGATTTAATGTCAGTAATGATTTTCGGAATGTTTGAATGCAACATAAAAAAAATAATTACAGTTAATGCAAACCAGTTTATTTTTACTCTCTTTACAATGCATTGAGCTGTCTATGTTTTCTGATACGTATACTATATGTTATTACTTGACAATGTATATTCAGTGATATTATAGAATTAAGAATCAGAGTTTACGGTTTTGGTAATTTTATAACAATATTTTAACGTACATTTTTTCAATGCTCTATCAATAACGAAAACTAAAGAGCTTATCACAAATAATTTCAAGAAACAAGATGACTAAACTTGAAAATATCACACGCTGCTTGCTATATCAACTTATTTATATTAAGAGCTCCGAAATAATTTTCGCATCATTATAAGGTCAAATCAATGTAATTAAATAGCAATGAGAGGCAGTCAATTGAATGAAATGTAATTTAGAGCTAAAGTATTGAATGAAATCAATAATTCATTTTGATGCATCTGAATGTTCAAATAATAGGTTGATAAGATTATAAGAAATCCTAGTACATATGCTAAAGTTTTAATAACATGCTTAAAAAGTTTTTTATTACTTTTTGTCTTTTCATTTCTTTTTTAAAATTAAAATTTTATTATCCAACTATTATTTATTGTTTCATTTATACAAAGTTGCTTGATTATTACTCTTTTATATGATTAAAGGATAATAATTTATTCACAATGAATTAACATTATAATAATAGGAAAATTATTTCGGAGCTAATGTAAATAAATTAACCTGGCAAGCAGCATGCCATATTTTTAATTTAGTCATCTTATTTTCTTAAGACACACTTTTTTGGATAAATTTTGAAATAAATATCACTTAAAACAAATTGTTCATGAAAATATATTAAAAGTAAAGTGCCAAATTATTATCTTTTGGATTTACCACAACATAAGAAACATGTGTTAAAAAGTTATCAAAAAATGTCTTTACTCCAGATGTTATGTGGTTAAACCGTTTTAAACTGATATAATCATGTGGTCTACGTTTCAACAATTAGAAACAATTAATCTAATTTAATTTCCATAATTAATGGATAACAAAGGAATGCACATCTGCTTTGTTTCTATTGGTTACGTATATTTGTTTATATACTTATAGACATATTCTTTACTGAAAACTCATCTCTTACCTCGTTTTCCTTCAGTTAACGGCTTTGTGGAATGACTGTTTGAGGAAAATAAAATTTCAGGTTTCTTTTTTATTGAATTAGGTGAAGCCAAGTTTACAAAGAACAAAGTACATTTAATGTTTCCCTTTTCATGTTACACGGAATACTCTAGCAGAAAAAAAATAAGTTTTCACTGATGTGGAAGAACTCTATTCTATTGAGTAAAACCATCCAAAAATTTCAAGCAAATGAAGATGTCATGTCGATACATGATATTCATACTTTGTTTCAAAAATTAGTCAAAGATGAAATACAAGCAAGTATTACAAATATTGAAAAACGATTTTGAGAAACATTTTGTTTTATTATTTGTTAAACTGACTTTTTATAATCTTGAAATTACAACTCACTTGTTTTGGCTCATTGAATAGAAATGAAATGGTTCTATCAAAATAAGTGGCGTTCCAGGATTGAGACTTTTGAGGTTGAGACTCACACTTCTGCACTGATAAAATTTTTTTCAAACAATCATGTGAAGAGGAATAATAAAATAAAATTTTGAAATAGATTAATTTTAATACTGACTGTCGTATAACGATGTTACAAAATCGTTCTATTTACAAAACGGTAAAATTCACAAACTGGATTATGTAAAAAGAACGACGGTGAAGAGATCCCGATAGTTCAGCATAAAACACCTAGCAATGAAACAAAAGTAACGGTGCGATATAGATTAGTAACTATAAATTAAATGGGCTGAGACAGTATGAAAATGCTTCTAAAATAACTTTTCCCACAAAATCATTAGCTGACAAGAATGCATTTTGAATCATAATTTTCATTGAGCATTTTAAATCCAAAAGCTTAAAATAAAACCAACTTTTTATTAAATAAATCTAATAGGTTGCATTTTAATGATAAAACCTGGAAATGATTAAAAATACGAAGGCTGCATGAAAATGATTCAAAAAATGAAGCATTATAGATCGCAATTATTCATATACTGGTCGCCAACAATAGTATAAAAGGAGAAACAGCTCGTCGAATAGCCATTTCCACATAAAAGCAGTCTCGATCAACTAATAAAATAAAATAAAAAATTTTGTGATTTAAAATATAGAGTAATTTTATAAAATTTAGTGTTCCTGATATTTGAAAAAACAATTACATGTAATTAATATATTAACAATGAAATTAGAAAAACTTACAAGGATTAGTTGTTAAAGCTTCTTGTAGTGACTGTGCTTCAATCATTAAGTACGATGAGAGAAATTGGCGACGCTGGGAGCTCGATAAGGATCGGAATATTTGCAGTATTACACTAGCCACTGCTTCGATGTAGAATACACCCCAATGATGTAAAACCTAAACTTTTTGAACACTGCAATAGTATTCTGAGAGCTATTTTACCTGATGCATTAAAAAATATTGCCTCTAAACCCTTATTTGCTCATTTATTGATTTACCTTTGAAAGTGATATTTCAAAGTTATGTTTCAAAAAATGTATATTTTGCTTCGATATTTATGCTTTGAATGTACCTTCAAACACCATACGAGCATCTTATAACATACTAATATCACATTCTCATTCGAAATGACTACAGAGGCAATTTTTGAGTTTCTAATTCAGGCACAAAAGTTCTTGTTAAACATACTGAATTTATTGTGTGAAATAAATCTGCTGCCTCGTTGACCAGATTATATGTTATTCGAAATTGTAAGGCGATATACATAAGTCGTGGTTTCAGAATCAAAAGTGAGGCAAAATTATCAAGAGTCCAAGAATTCGGTACAGCTCAAAGCAACATAGAGAAAATTATTAATACAAAACATGGTATGAAGTCGAATTTTCAAATTCATTCTTCTGTGTATCATATTACTTAAAATTATATAAAGACTCTATCAAAAATGAAGATATGAAGCATTTAAAGAGCAAAGTGACACTAGTTACACGGAAGCAAAATGCATTTTTTTAAATCTAGACGATATAATTTTAAATTAATTACTAGTAATTTCTTCCAGCAGATTGAAAATACTATGATCACTCCAAGCATAGTTTCCTAAATTAACATCGCTAATCATACTATTGAGACTAAACGATAAAGGTCCGATTACTTCCTCACACATAATATGACTTTCGATCGTTTCATTTGCCAATAATTCCCAGTCTATAACTTCTGAAATAAACATGTTTATATTTCTAAGTACTAATCTTTGAATATTTTAGAATCATATTCCTTACTGAATTCTCGAAATATTTCATTATGAATTTAAAAAATATAAAGTTTCAGCTGAACTTCGAATTCTTTCACTGCTTACTATTCTGACTGTTTGTTTTCACGGGTCCAAATATAATCATAAATAATCTTCCTTGTGCCGCAAGAGATTCTTGGGTTCGTAAAATTAGTGAATTCCAGAATCCATAACGGTTGTCATGTCCCTTGTGACTCATGAAGAAACCTTTAAGGCGTTCTCGAGCCTGAAAAAGTGAGAAAATAAATAGGAAGCCGCTAGTAACAGCATTTTTTAGTTATTACCTCTATTTCTAAATGCGCATTTTCAATTTGTGCTGGCACCACTTGATTAAGAATATCATTAACACCGGTGAAGAACATTAATGATCGGAATAGGTTTTCGCATTCTTCAAAAGTCCATCTTTGACAAAACTAAATGTAGATTTTAAATAAATTTATAGTCATAACATGGCAAACAAAAACTTCCCGTACAAATTTAACCCTATTAAATTTAATTCATCTTAGTGCATAAAAATTCAGAGCGGTTCTTACTTTTTTTATTTTGTATATATATATATATATATATATATATATATATATATATAT